GTTAGGAGGTGGGTCTTTGGGAGATGAGTAGGTCATGAGGATGAGGACTTCATGAAGGGGTCAGTTCTCTTACAAAAGAGACTCCTGAGAGCTTCCTGGCTTCTGCCATCATGTGATGACACAGTAGAAAGACTTGTTTTTGAACCACAAAGCGGTCTCTTATCAATCACTGAATCTATCTGCACCTTCATCTGGCTCGTCATGTCTTCTAATCCCCACTCATGGATCTGCAAGTCATTGTTAAAGGGCAAATGGTGATTATCCAGAAAATTCTTAAATTTTGATTGAGGAGAAGCCAATGGATGGACTGAAATGAACGTCAGGGAAAAGTCAGAGAAAATCCTTAAATCTTTGCGGCACAGTGGCAGAAGCAGGCAAAATTTTCAGTGCCTACCAATTTTTAACTTTACAACTTGTGAAGAAGAATAGGAACTCTGTAATTCATACTCAAAAATAATCACAGCCCATGCAAATCAGATTTAAAAATAAGAAAGAAACACCAAGGCTCTTCCCTAAAATATTATATCTTTTCTTCTGTAGAACTCAGTAAAAATTTGAATTCAAGGGGCACCTGAGTGGCTCAGTAGGTTACACATCTGACTCTTGATTTCAGCTTAGGTCATGATCTCACAGTTCCTGAGTTTGAATGCCCCATTGGTCTCTGCACTAACAGTGTGGAACCTGCTTGAGATTCTCTTTCTTCCCTCCCTGTCCCTACTCTATTTTCTTTCTCTCTGTCTCAAAATAAATAAACATAAAAAAATTTTAAAAATGGAATTCAAGAAGGTTAAAGACAAACTTCAAAGATGGCATTGCAAAAGATTAATACAATTATTAACTATCACAGGAAACAAAATTCAGACTAAAGCAATATTAATTTAGAACTGCTTAACTGGTAAGAGGGTCACCTTCGTGGCCAAGTAGGTTGGCCATCCCACTTCAGCTCAGGTCATGATCTCACAGGCCTTGGGTTTGAGTCTCATGTGGGGCTCTGTGCAAACAGCTCAGAGACTGGAGCCTGCTTCCGATTTTGTGTCTCCCTCTCTCTTTGCCCCTTCCCCACTTATGCTCTATCTCTCTCACTCTCTCTCACAGAATCAATATTTAAAAAAAAATAACAGATGAGAAATACAATAAAGCTGATGTCAGGTTATTATAATAATGGGAAACTTGAGATAATTGGAGTGTCCTCTAAGTAAAAAATAAAGAGAATAGATGTGAATGATGATAAAAGAATCCAGCACATGGATAATGCTTCTTGAGGAAACTTGAAAATTTTCTTGAAATGACTAACTGATGCTCCAAGACCTAACAAGCATACTTGGGAAAACTGAGGTATAGCAATTTACAATTAAACACGTGTTGGTTTTTATTAGGATTTAGAACTTCCTCTAAAGAATTCTTCACACAGGGACCTAGGTGAAAAAAAATAAAAACAAAAGTTAAAGGAAAAAAGGATACTCTGCTGGCCTCTTGCATCTTCACTATATTCACTACCCAGATAGATATAAGGAAGCAGTTTCTGTGAACTTCGGAGGGAATGCATATGGAATCCAAGAATACAGCCACCAGCCAAATTGTCACTTAAAAAATGATAGGAGGAAAAACTAAACATAATGTCTCCATGTATTTCGTATTAAAACTACTGGTGTTGAAATCTACCCAGTGACATAATGAACGGAGAGTAGGTGAAGGCCAGATGGAGTATAAGCATTAGGATAAGTACATAATTCTTATGATGGAGCAGTGACTACAAATCTGAGGAAAGAGTGAACCCATCTTTGATTCCCAGGTAAGCTGTCTTTGAGTGTAAAAGCAAAATTCCAGGAACATAAACCTGTTGAGGCTTCTGTAAAAAAAGCAAAACCAACTAAACAAACTATTTGCAGATAAAGTTCATCAAATAAAGAAGGGAATTAAAATGAAGAACTTACAAACAGATATTTTGTGTAAAAAGCCAACGTTTTTGAATGTAGATAGGTCTAGATTGTGGCTTTCATGATTGTAGAATAAGACGTGGGCTTAATCTACTAGAGTAAAAATACCATGCTTATCAGAATGAGGCTTTAGGTGGAAGTTAGAATGTGCTATTTCTTTCTTTCTCATAGAAGGAGGTCAGCTAATGGTGACAAATAAAATGCATTGCCACTAAAACTCCAGTTTTGTAATCCTATCCATGCTACCTCTTCCTAATGTTTAGAAGCTTAGGGCTCTGAAAGTGAAAAAATACCTGACGTTCAGGAGCATTTTCTTCAATTTCACTCTGCTGAATTTTCTTCCCTAACCAGCTAAGAAAAGACCTGCATGTGATCTAATTGAATGCATTATTGCTTTTATTTCTTCATCCTTTTGTCCTGCCATCTTACTGCATATATTAATAGAATTAACAGAGTATTGTTGGAATGATGTTTAGCTAATGTTAGGTAGTGATATTTTTGGACCATTTTTTTTTTTTTTTTTTTTACCTTTTTCAAGTAGTTGGTTTTAAGAACAATACACCATTTTTCTTGAAATAAGACTTTAAAAACTGTTTTGCTTTTAAAATACTTATATATCAAGCATTTGCTAGTGGTGAAAACATCCATGTTTTGGGGCACAAAGATCCGATACCCTTTCTTTAAGAATTTTATCCAGTTCAGTAATTAAAAATTTAATCAGTCTTTCATGTTCTCATCCTAGACTTCATTTATGTATATGCAAAAGAAAATTTTAAATTAATCATTTTTTAAAATTCATATTTCACTCATATTTGCTGAAGTTACATGACGTGGTAGTCTTATTTCATATCTGTTATGTCAAACTTGGCAGGATCTCAGGAATTATATAGTACTTGTATGCAGACATTCATGCTAACATCTTAAATATTGGCATGAGACATTAACTCTGTGGCCAGAGAAAAGACCATTTGTTCACTGCAGTAGCCTTAAGGAGAATGACCGTGTTGCACTGATTGTCTAAATTGCATTTCCTACAGGGAAATGTTGTCACCACTAGGTGCTGTTCCAGTTGAGGTATATTAAAGAAGTTGATATTGGGGAGCCCTTACCTTATATTCAGGGACCATGGGGAAACCAGTCCATCCTCTTATTAAAAAAGAGACATTGTCTTTATTCCTCCGAAATGTCAAACAGATCTGACCTAGGGAGAGTGAGGAGGCTACCTTTATTTTCTGAAATATGCACAAGTACACTCCAGGAAGAGACATACCTACCTTTGTAAATCTGCTTGTTATGCAGACATCTTTGAAAAGCCCATCTGGAGTAAGTTAGCTATTAAAATGTTTGGGTTTATGAGAAACCCCTGGAAAATTGTCTTCCTATACTATCTGGAAGATGTGATTTCTTGAACAAACTTAATGTTGCACAATGAAATCCCATAATTTTTCTCTCTTTTAGTATCAGTATATGGCTGATGCAAATGGAACTATTTTGTTAAACTTTTTTAATGTTGTCTCTGAACTTGGTACTCAATAAGAATTTTAAAGTGGAAGAAAAGTCTTGAAATTCATGAGTCAATGAATTCCTAGCAGGGTTCTGACCTCAAAGTATTTACTTCCCCTTTTCTAATATTTTGTCAAAATTACATATAATTAAGATAAATCCTACTTACTATGTAATGTTCTTAGAAGTGCAGTGTTTAGTGTGTTACTTAGGGACTGGCCTGCTGTTTTCGAAGTACAAATTGTAGAGCATTGTAAATATAATGCCACTATTAACCACTGAAATGTAGCTTTCTGGGGAATTAAAATAGCGAACATAAAAGATCTCTTGTTTCATAATTAAGTTTTTGTTCATATTGATAATAGAGGGAAACAATGGAAGTTAATTAGAATATTGAGTTGTATGGAATAAAAGTCTTATGAGGGAAATATTTGTATTATATGTGCTATTCTAAATCTAGTCTGAGACCACCTCTAGTAATAATCTCCTCATCTCTTGTTTTATTATCATTTTACTAGTTCACGTCTTATTTCTCTTTCAGACTACTGTAATAATTTCTTTTTATTGATACAATTTATTATCAAGCTAGCTAACTCACAGTGTATACAGTGTGCTCTTGGCTTCAGGATAGATTCCCATGATTAATTGCTTACATACAACACCCAGTGCTCATCCCAACAAGTGCCTTCCTCAATGCCCATCACCCATTTTCCCTCCCTTCCACCCCATCAACTCTCAGTTTGTTCTCTGTATTTAAGAGTTGCTTATGGTTTGCCTCCATCCCTCTCTGTAACTATTTTTTCTCCTTCACTTCCCCCATGGTCTTCTGTTAAATTTATCACATTCCACATATGGGTGTAAACATATGATATCTTTCTCTGACTGACTTACTTCACTTAGCATAATACCTTCCAGTTCCATCCACATTGTTTCAAATGGCAAAATTTCATTCTTTCTCATTGCCAAGTAGTATTCCATTATGTGTATGTATGTATGTGTGTGTCAGCTTTTTTATCCATTCATCAGTTGATGGACATTTGGGTTCTTTCCATACTTTGGCTATTGTTGATAGCACTACTATCTCCACTATGTTGACTCCTCTCTCTCTAGTAATTTCTTAATGCATTTCCTGTTTCTAGTCATTCCAGGTTTGGCAGAATCTATCTAACTGTAGAATTTAACATGATTGTAGAATCATCCAACAACCCCTGTCTAACCAACCATTTGAAAATAATCAAGCATTTTCTGAACTGTATCCTGTATATAAGAAAAAGTAGTTACTTGCCTGTCCCTCCATATATCTTGTACTTTTCTCATTTGAAACTATCTATTTCTCTCCTCACCAAAGTAGTATTCATCAGTAAAGGACTAGTTCAGATGTCTTTTTCTTGGAAGCCTCATAAACTTCAGCTTGAATTATTTTTATTTTTTTATGGTCTTAGGCTTTATGTGTCTGTTGAAATTTTATGCTCATTTGTAACATTTGTTTAGGTTCTGGTTTGCGTTTCTATCTAATTTATAAACTCCTCTGTCTTACATATTTTTTTCTCCTAGCCTGTAAAAGTCACCTCTCAACTTCCTTGTCATGCTGGCAGAGATCTTGAGCAAATCATGTCAGAGCAATGCTACAGTTACATTTGTGTGAATGTAAGTAGTGACCTTAAATGGCTCAAAGCCCTTGAGGATTTGTGTAAATGTAATGTGCAAGAGAATTTTTTCTTGATTTTTAATTTTTTGAATTTAAGTTTTTGTGATAGATGAGTTTTGTTATTCAATATGCATTTGGAAGTTGTATTTTTAAATTTTTGAAATGGAAAAATATTTTCTCGCAAACTAATTCCCATAATTAAAAGAGGGTGATATTTCTGTAGACATCATTTTCATTTACTTGGTATGAATCAGATAAGATGACACAGGTTTGAATTAATGAAGAGTTCAAATTCTAATAGATACGACGTTACAGGTATCCTTGAAAGTTGTTTGAAAAGGGAAAATTAAGCTTGATAAGTATTTTAGATGTATATGTAAAAGCCTCATATTTTTTCCTTCACTGATTTTAATTCTTAAATTAACTTTTAAATCATTTAAGAACTTCTTTTTAACTTGCTTTTATTTTCTGGTCTTTCAGGTTATGACCTCTGATTTTGAGGAAACCCGGAAATTGGTGAAAATGCTGGAAGAGAGTAATCTTTCCATTCTATATCCTGTTGTTGTTGTTTCAGTAAGTGATTTAATGTAGATTTAACTCTTCAACCTTAGGCTTCCTTCCTTGGGATTCAATTTTCCTTTTTAACGAAATTTCATCCAGTTGAGGAAACCCACCCAAGCCCAGAAGAAACTCCTATTTATGGATCCCTGAACTTCCTCTCTTGTTATGACTTCTGTGACTTTGTTCTCTTATTACTGCAGTTATTTGGATGAATTGACAAGTATAGGGAAAAATTAATCTAGCAACCAATTTCATTTCTCTTCCTTCATTAAAATTGCGAAGTATACTACTGAGTTGACTAGTTCTTTGAAGAATATGAAAGAGCTTTATTAGCATGTTCCCGGAATACCATTGGAGAAGAAATACCAAGGTTAAAAAAAATGAGAGGGAAAATATCATGTGGAAGTAAATTGTCTCTTAGGTTGTTTCATCTTCTCTGTCATTTGGACAGCAAAGTAGAAGGAGAGAGAAACAGATCAAAGGGAATTCCTTGAAGAGTGGCCTATGAAAATTTTGGGAAGGTCTTTCCTGTGAAAGACTACAGGTACATGTTTAATACAGTATTTCCTTGATTGGTCTTTTAAACTGCACAAGAGGGAGATCTCAGCACAACCAGGAAGGAATAAAATCAGAGGCTAGCTGAGTAGAGCCTGCTGTCAGTGACACTTTGCTGTAGGAAGGGATTCTAAATGTGAAATTCTCAAAGCATTTGCTTAGCAATTGCCGAGTTTCTAAGCTCAGGCCCATCCCAGTAGTGTGGGAATTTAGAATTTAGTTCTTGTGAGGTAAGGTCATTAATACAAAAAGAAAATTTGTACTACAAATGAATTTTAACTCTAGCCCTGCAAACATAGCCGAATTAGCAACTGGGGGAGATTGATTGTACTGTCCTCTTGTAGTTGGTTATATATCCTAACGTAAGTTCCATGGATCCTGCTGATTATGGAAAATCAAGTTCCACAAGTGACTGATTTTAACACAAATATTGGTACCTTTCATCGGGTGTTTTGGGAAACATTATGAAATGTACTTAATGCTGGAAGGCTCTAAGGCTCTGTAGGGTACAGTTAGGTTAAAAATCCAGGGTACAGTCTTTTATTCCTCCCTTTGTGTTAACTTAGAAATCTCATTCTCTCCGTGTTCCCAGATAATATTCTAAAGAGAATACAGTATTATAAAGGGAGCAAGGGCTTTAGACTCAGAATTTCTCAACTCTGAGTTCCTTGCTCAACTTGGTTAACTTTTCTGAAATTTGCTTTCCTCATTTTAGAAAGGAGGCTAATAACCCTACTTCTTAATTCATTGTAAGGATTAAGATGAATGAATGACTACATAAATGCAAAATGAACTTGGTATCTGTTTGGAAGGCACGTAGTGTTTCATTTAATAGGTTAGCTCCTCTTCTTTCCCATTTCGATGAGATGACTCAAAGTTCACTTTCACTGCTCTCTAATCAGATTACTGAGTTTGAATCAAACATTTTTCAAAATTCTATTAGGTACTTCAGTGTGAGTACTTCATTATCGTCTCACACCTACTACATCAGATCTACCATAAAAACATGTTTCCTTTTAGCTGACTTATCTTAGTGGCAGTAGTTGTGGCCAGGACTCAGGTAGGATTCTAGCTGAGGTTTTCATTCTTTACACCTTTTTCTCTACCTCTCACTATCAAACATGCATGTGCATGCATGCACGCACACACACATACAGTTTTTAAATTGTTCTATTTGGTTGTTACTATTGTATGTCAACCTCTGTTTTTTGTGTTTTTCCATAAATATTTGAACTTAGTTTTCTTTTTTGTTTTTAAAGTTTATTTTCGAGAGAGAAAAAGAAACAGAGTGCAAGCAGTGCAGGGGCGGAGAGAAAGGAAGACACAGAATCAAAGTAGGCTATAGGATCTGAGCTGTCAGCACAGAGCCCAACGTGGGGCTCAAACCCACGAACCAGGAAATCATGACCTGATCTGAAGTTTGACGCTCAACTGACTGAGCCACTCAGGCTCCCACTGAATTTAGTTTTCTGTTTATTTCTGTTGAACTCTATTTTATTTATCCTAGTAAGTGCTAGAATTTTTTTTTTCCTCCCTGATGTTTTGTATCATACCAAGGAAAAAGATGCATAATCCTCTAATTAGGAAATAAATGTCTCCTAGGGCTAGTTTGAGTATAGTATTACTATAAATCTGTATACCATACACATTGAAAATTGTTTACTTTAAATTGGAGAGTTGTAATTACTCCATGATTAATATTTGTTCACCCATTATTTTCTCTCTGAATAGGTATACTTAGTATAGGTATATGAAAGTTATTATTAAACTTAATAGGAAAATGTCAGTAGAACATACCTAGAGTCTGTATCTTAGGATGGACTGTATCACTGAAGAGGCAACATAAAGACTTCTGCCTTCTTGGATTGAGAGGCAAGTAACTTTTTCTGGATTTTTGAATTGTCTTGTAAATGATGGAATTAAGACTTCATTCCATTTCTTTCTGGTAGTAGTTTTCCGCAAATGGCCAAAAGGCCATTTCAGTTTTCCTATGACTTAAAATTTGGCAGAATCATTCAAATATTTCCCAAATGAGTATTTGTGTAGAGAATATGATTCTAATGGCAAAAATAAATAAGGTAAAAACTTAAATTTGAGTCTAAATACCTGGGGACACAGTTTATACGTTAATAAGTAGAAACAAAACATAATGCATGCAATGTCTGGAGATAGAAATGTGAATACACATGAAGACATAGATACATATATATGTAACTGGAAAGGTGTTACTACAAGCAGGTCGTAGACTGTGGTATGTCTGTTTTGCTTTTATCTGAATTCCTTTGCTAGGAGATTAAGTCATACTATTTTTTTTTTTTTAATAAGGCTTTTAAGCATTTATAAATTCTAAGAAGAGTGGTCAAAGAATTTGTGTATTTACTTCCCTGAACAGGCAGCTTTTACTCACCAGAAAATAAGTCTAAAATGACATCAAGGTCATAGAAAAATACATCGATTTTTATTTTGGAACTATATGATTCGGTAGCTATTGAACGCATATGTTGTAAATGTTTAAAGACCTATTTTGTCTTGGCTGAGATGTAGTACATTGGTCCTTTTTTTCTATGTGAGGGTTTATCAACTTCTAATTTCAGTCTATTAGAAGAGAGGAACACTTGGGAAGCACCCAGATGAAAAGTAATTTGTGGTTGATGAGGTGTTTGTGAGAGTTTTTTCAACTGAGAGACTAGTTAAGGTGGTCATTTGCAGTGTTACTATGTTTCACTCTACAAGGACAAATTTTCAGAGAAAATGGGGCTGAAGTTAAGCTGGGGCATTTTGTTTGGCAAAAACAACACTTGATCGGTTTTTGTTTATTTGTTTTGTTTTTTGGTTTGTGTTTTAAATGTTTATTCATTTATTTTTGAGAGAGAACAAGAGGATGGGGAAAGGGTGTAGAGTGAGAGAGAGAATCCCAGCAGGCTCTGGCCTGTCAATGCAGAGCCCCATGTGGGGCTTGAACTTAGGAACTGTGAAATCATGACTTGAGCTGAAATAAAGAGTGAGATGCTTAACTGACTGAGCCAGCCAGGCGCCCCAACACTTGATCAGGTTTTAAGTGTTGAAAATTGGTATCTGGTCTGCCATGCTGGTGAAACTCACATTGTCTTAAATTTTCAAAGAGATGTAGAAACATATTTTGGAATTTCCTATTAATTGTCATTTGGTAGTCATTTAAATGGTATATCTGACTTTCAACCTCATGAGAAACTTTTATCCCTTGGAGAGAGCTAAACATGGAAGGAATGACTGGTTAATGGTGTTAGGTTCTTGGTTCACAGGTATTTAGCTTAAGTAAATTTATTTCATGGTGTTGATCAATCTCAAAATCAACTTCTCTCTGCCTTTATGAAACTGAAATGGGCCATTTCAGTAGGAGGTTTTTGTGATCTAAAGTAAACTGACATAGGAAAGATGCTACTGCTTTAAGATGTGCTTGGAAGAAGAAACAAAATTTCACCATGAAAAGTAGAAAAAATAATTAGGACTTTATCTTGAAATAACTAAAATATCTATCAAAATAATTTTATCTGTTTAAAAAATTAGATCATTTGGAGAGGCATCTTTGCTTAATCTTGTGATCACATATGATAATAAGCTGTGACATGCTTCATTTCAAGTGGTCATTTTTACAAAAATATTTTTGGACAGTTTTAGTTTTGTAAAAATATCTTAATACCTTGTTCAGAATTCTCTTTGGGACCATACATTAATAATTCTTATTTTCTTTATTTTTATGCAGTTTAACTTAGCCAGGTTCTCATTTGAGTAGGATTTATGGAGTTTACTAATGTTAATTTGTTCAACTTAATAAAATCCCAAAGTTTTGTAGTTGTAACTTAACTTTATTGTAATTATATTAAATAATCAGAATTTTTAAAATGTCTTTGACCAGTTGGGAACTGATAGTATTGACTGTTTTGCCTACATAGATGCAGCATTAAAGTGGGTAGAGGTAGTTGAGTGGGCTCAATTTATAAATGTCTTGTTTTTCATTGAGTCTTCATCTATGTTAAGGATGACATTTGTTAGCCTATGTAGCCTTTTAACTGTGAGCCTTTAGAAACACATAATCAGATAAGAAGCTTGTCTTGTACTGGGACAATTCTCCTAACTCAAATGAAAAAATATCATTTAAAAAAAATTTAATGTATATTTATTTTTTGAGAGAGAGTACAAGCAGGGTAGGGTCAGAGAGAGAGGGAGACACAGAACCTGAAGCAGGCGCTAGGCTTTGAGCCTGATGCAGGGCTCGAACTCATGAACTGTGAGATCATGACCTGAGCCAAAGTCTGACTCTTAACCAACTGAGCCACCCAAATGCCCCCATATATTTCTTTTATTAGAGACTGATTGTCACAAAGGGATTTTTTTAAATGTAGGGTCTTTCCTATGTCTTTTATCAAGAAACCTTATAAACATAAAAACCAATGTTTTCTTTTGTTAAATTGTGTAGG